ATGTTTCAATTGTCTTTCCTTCTGTTTCATTACTGCATCAATTGGCCGCTGTATCCACCGCCTGGGCCATTGAGCCAGTGCAGTTGTCTGTTCAGTATGACCTGTGAGCCAGTCTTCAGGGCCAGTTTCTGACTGCCCTGTATGGCACGCCGCCATCTAAGCCGTCATTGATGTCTGAACAGTACTGTCCCCTGCTTTGAGCCGGTCCCATAATCTTTTCTGCCCTGCCTCTGGTCTGTCGCCACCCGTCCACACCGTCTAGCCCTCTCCCGTCTCCTCCTCACAGCGTTGTAGCGTGTTCAATCTGTCGCCGCCCATCTAACTCTCTTCATCCTCCCACAGCGCTGCAGCGTGTTCAAGTGGATGGCGGCGGTGGCGATGTCGCTGGACTCCCAGCTGGCACCGTTCCTGCACCTGCTGCTGCCGCCGCTGGTCAGGGAGATCACCGACCCCTCGGCGCCGCTCGAGCTCAAAACGCTCGCCACAGAGGTGCGTTCTAATCAGAACAAGCATCAACGTTTGCCGGGTCTCGTCATGAAGTTTTTGCGGACATTTCTTTTATTGTCATGTTTGTTTATGTTGCGTTTCGTCGGTCTGTAACATGTATTATGAAGTGCTGGTGAAAATAATGCAATGTTTACAAGTGAAGTAAGCATATGATCTTTTTGTTTTCTTGACGGGAATTATCAGCTTAATGCGCATTGCTTAGCGCTGATGCATTCAGGGTGGCCTATGCTCATTCGCTTCCTCATCCATCCTGTAGTATATTTAGCAGTGCTGACTAGGTGTTTAGGTAAGGCTTTACACAATCGTTTTCCAAAATCACTGACCCGAGCTTTCCAGGGCCTATGACCTGTGCACTGTGCAGGATTATGCTGGTGATACTGTGGTGTATCTTGTCTTTCCCAGAATCCGACTTAGGCGAAAGGCCTTTCAGTCTCCGCTATCATAATGTGCACATGTGACATGAATGTGCTTCATCTTAATCTTCCTTTGATCCGTCATGCCTTTGTTGGGCTAAGCGTTTCTAACAAAAGGAACCATAAGCCTGTTGAAGTGGTACACTGTTGAAATGGTCTTTGGCTGATCTCTCGTCGTGACTCGTGGCATGAAATATGACAGAGGCTTGTGTAAATGAACAAATTGCTATAGCACCCTACTTGTGTCTACCGAAGACACGTCACAGGGTGGAACTCTGACCTCTGCGCTCCTTCCATCGCCCCTGAACAGGTGACCGACCTGATGAAGCGCTCGGTTGGAGTGGAGACGTTTACCGCTGCGTACACCCGCGCCCAACTGGTGCTCAGCCAGAGGAAGGCCGAGCGACGCATTCAGCGCAAACAACAGGTGAGACGAGGGAGAAATACCTCGGAGAATTGGGAGGTCGAATGCGGGATGATGTGATCAGGGCATAACAGTCGGTCATCCCTGCCCCTGTCCCCTGGATTCAGTCGATCAGCATGACAATGAGGGGGCGGGTGTTCATGAAGAACGATATTGCACAGACCGGAATTGACGGAAATTTGCCGCGTGTTGTCATACCATGACTAGGCGATGCGTCAGGGTTATTTGGGCGGAATATCGCCAGTTGCATATCACTGGGTGTCTGCATACCACAGCTGGGGCTGGTGGGCAACACAGGAGGGTCCGATGAAATTGCCCCGGCGGGGGAAGGGGGGGGGGGGAGAGATGTGTTTTGTTTCTCTGTGCTGGATTTTCTGGGAAATTAAGATCACGGCAAGAGTTTATCAAAGCGGTGTGTTCCAGCTGCGTTCTCAATCCTTATGAATTTTGTGAAGTGATGTGTCATTTTGTGGAAATGTTGTGGTTTCGTGTTTGAACGTATAAATTTTAAAAAGTTGACGCCAGGAAGGAGGTTGGTGCGTTGTGTGCATTGAGGATGGGAATGTGCTGACTCACGTGTTATCAATCCCCACCTTTCCCATCGTTTCAATTATTCAGGCTTTCAGTGTCTTCCAGGAATTGTATCGCAGCCTTTGCTTACCTACAGCAGTCCTCTGTCCCTCGAGACGTACAAAATGCATGGTTTGTCTCGTTAAACCGGAATCGATGTCGACTATGTACATTCCTGACTTATGTAATGCCTGCAGCCGGGTCGCTGCCAGCGCAGCTGTCGTATTGTAATAATGCGCGGAGACAAGGTGCCCGGGATGACATACTTTTTACAAATCGTATTTTCCATCCTCGTTCAGGTTCTTCTTATATCAAAGTTTCTAGAAAGTATCCTGTTTTTCCGTAGCTGTAAGTTCCCCCACCACTCAGCCCATCGTCATGATTTGTCTCGACATGACTTATCCCGCCCGCTGACTATTGGTCAGTGACCCGACTGGTCACCGCTGCGATCATCCATCTGACCCGACCGCTCTGCTTTTCAGCTGGTCACCAATCCAGTCAAGACGGCGCGCATGAAGATGCAGAAGCACATCAAGAAACGAGCCGCAAAGAAGCGGAAAATAATGCAGGATAAGCAAGTGGGCTTCAAGAGGCGGAAAGTCAGTAATATGGGCTGATGCGGGGAGGGGGCGTGTCGATGTTTTCTATTATGCCAATGGGTGGGAGAAATACATGCCATGATGGACGTCGAAGCGCAGTTTGGAATCGTCTCCACGCAAACGTTAGTAATAAGTGTGTAAAAATGTAGGTGAGCAGTTAGAGAAGCGATTCCCCAACCTTTTATTTCAGAAAGGTTCTCTTCTCACCCCAAACCTCTTCACAGCCTGCTTCTACCTGTCAGCTGCGCCAAAAGCCCTCATTTCGACTCTGAAACTGATTCTTCGTGAAAGCTTCATTGTAAATCCCTGTGATTCCGATCAAGCTTATGCACCTGTTTGCGATCGATAGAAAATTTATAAATATTTGTACCGGCCTCAAACTACGCAGACCGCTGATAACTTATCGCGCAATCAGCCAAAAACAATCCACGTGAGAGACGCGAGAAAAAAATCCAGCTCGGAGTCGAGGCTGAATTAATTTGGCGGAACCGTGATTGTAACAGACTGAAGTGATAAATTGTGAGTATGCGACTATGGCGCGAAAGTAACAGTCATTCTTACCAAACACGTAGGAATTGCCTCTGAACCCATAATTTGGCATAGATCTCCGACGTGTAAACTTCAAGCACGATTTCTTTTTATCTGTATGCGCGGATTCCTCTGGAATTGAACCACCCTTCGACCGAGGTCAAATGTCAACGTGTCACGCGGGGAGCGAGCCTCAATGCCCAATGCTCCACTCATGCCACCACATACAGTCTCTTTCAAACATCATTTATTTCGCAGTATAATTTCAGTTCGAGACAGCTGAGCCCCTTCCGATCGTTACAAGTGCAGACGCCTAGTGGCACGTCCACTAACGAACGCATACGTGCGTAAGATCGCGACTCGTACGTACGCTGTTTACGCAAAGTATGAAAAATATCGCCACTTTTGATCGGTCGCGCGGTGAAACATGACCGGGCCGCAGCGTCACGGTCCCGTCACAATGACGTCACGATGTCACTCTGCGTCACGATGACGCGCAGAAACACCGACCGATGATTACCCGTTGGTATAGATGACGGCGATTAGCGAGGCCAGCGATCGCGGTGAACAACATGAAAAGGCGACGAGTCGGCGAGAGGACATACGCGGAGCGGAGCGATAGATACAGAGCGATACATGAGTACAAGTGGCTGCCACCGTGCGCCTCGGTACGTGAAGACCCTTAAAACTGACAGCGGAGATCTCCGGCGACCCTTCCTAGGATCAGCTCCGGGCTCGCGAGGAGAGCAATTTGATATTTATGTATGCTCGCTCTGCCTCGTAATCCACAGGTCCCAGGATCCATTATGTCAGTCAGAGAAGTTGAAAATGTAGCAGGAAGCTCCGATTGTGAAGCGCACGGGTTCACCGAGGATACAGGCGGTCGGTGTATCATGCTCAAGACGGGTGGTTGCCTCTAATGTACCGCTCAGCTGGGCCCTAAGCCAGTCAGGACTCGGCCTGTCCCGTCACTGCCAGTCGGGGCCAATCTGTCCATTCACATTGTCTGAGCTGCCATTGAATGAAGCTAGAGGCTACTGAAATGAATCTCAATCAACTGCAAAACTTGACCGCACAGGGGCACCAGCATGTGCTACTTCCGCAGCAAGACGAATCAGCTAGTGGGGTACACCAAAACGTCTACTTGCGCTAACCTCGATTTGATAGTGAAAGGCATATGGTTGTGTCTACTTCTCTACTTCTATGGGACTTTTCACTAACAATGCAGTAGTGAACACACACTTAGGACGGTTTCCTTCGAGACGGGAGGGTCCCGACTTTGGTGTCGCACATTTACAACAATATTTCCAACATTTCGTGACACTTCCGGCAGTCAAACACACATCCATCGAATATGGAAAGTCTGCCGCCCTAACGGAGGCTAAACGGCGGCGAACAAGCAATAAATATTTCTTAGTAAAGCCTAACCACAAGCACGGCCCAAACATACCAACGCAACAGCCTTCAAAGCGAATAAATGACCTTATTTCTAAAATTCAGCATCACACATTTGCTCGAAAGAACTCAACAAGAAACGAGAACATCGCCTTCAGCAACTTGCAGTATCACGTATAAAGCTCCGATCTTGGTCTAAGATCACTGACCACAGCCAAAGCTGCTGCCTAGCATTGCACATAGGACAAACAAACACACATGACGGAGACGGCTCTCTGCAAACGAACAAATGGAATGCGGCAAATACGCCCCCTTGCGAAGGGGTTAACGGGAAAACGCTATTTAGCATAGCGCACTGGCTACAGTTGGGAGCTAGATGATAAAACGGCCTTCACACATAGAGCTACGAGTATGCTACGGTTGGTGCACATAGCTCCTTGACGAAAGAATGGGTCAGTCGGGATAACGACTTTGCCACAGCTCGGGCATTCAAGCTTGGCTTGTTTTCGAAGAAGAAAAAAAAAACATTTTTTTTTGCAAGGTGCGATTTCCTTAACAAAAATAAATCATCTAAAAAAAATTATCAGATCTCAAAGTGATGACAACGATGATAATGTCACACAGATCATAAATGTTAAAATGAGCCGCAAGCATGGTGATCGTGTCATTAACATGACGGTTCCAGATGCTGACAGTGTGTTGGTTTGCGAAACACCCTACCATCGCCGCGACTCCGTGTGTTCGGATAACTAGTACTTCGCAGACGGCAAGGCACGCCGGCTGTATTTGGTTCTGTGACTGAGAGCCACGAGCGATGAATGAGGAGCGAGGATGTCGAGTAATGAGAGAAGCTGGCTCTGCGGCCCATAGTCTACCCCAAATATCAGCATCAACCATGCTCCGCCTTAGTCTCACAGCTCACTGCCTACTCCACATCATACGAACTCCACTATCCCACACAGATCAATCACCGCCTTCACGCCTCGCGTCAGTACCGATTCGCCGTCACCCTCTCCCCACTCCGACCGTCCACTGCCGCCGCAGCGGTCCCGTTCGTCACTGCACCGTTCCTAGTCTGTCGGCCCTCTGTTCCCTGCAGTGTGAGCGGCCGGCGCTCGGTGCCTGTCGGGTACTGCGGCGGCGGCAGCAGAGTCTGATCGCTGCCCTCCGCGTCCACGGCGAGCCGGCAGTGGCCGGCGCCCAGCTGGGGTCCCGGTGCAGCTCGCGCCGCAACCGGGACCGACCGTCATTGCAGTGGGCACTGTCCGGCCTTGGTCTGAAACGGGGACGGTCGGGACGGCCGGTCAGCGAGTGGACGGGCGGTCACCGGTGACGGCGCGTCTTTCAGAGTCGATGAGTCAGCAATGTCAACACGGCGGTAGAGCGGCGCGGTAGTCCGCCGTGGTACAATCAAACACAACTTTCACGACGTTTCACTGGGAACACGCCCAGATCCGACCTGAGTCATGCTCTACCGGCGCACAATTAGTCTACGCTTGCGCCGTGACCCAGTGCAGTGACCTAGTGACAGCCGTCTCTAGTAAGTGGATAGGCCCATGGCTGTAGCGCTAGTAACTTACCGTGGGGTGGCTGTGGCGACGCAGATACATCAGTCCAGCCAGCAGCAGCAGGGCCGATCCCAGAGCGACCAGCAGCCAGCGGGCGGCGGCCACCAGACTCAGCGGACGCTGCAGACGGTCTCGGAACTCGGCCGCCAGTGCAGAGTTCACTACCGCCGTCTGGGGACATGGGACGGAGCGCAGTCTCAGAGACAATGTAAGGCGCATGTTGATACAGGTGAGCGGTAACCGACGCTAGTGACGAAATCATTGTATATTTTCCTGGGACAATGCAATGAAGACAAAGTCAGACGAAGAGTGAGGAGGATTTCGTGACTGGTGTCTGACCGACCAATATTGGTGATCAATTGTCACTGCGACGGAGTTTTGATAAGCCCCGCAACTCTAAAGATCAACAAAGTTTTATGTAACGGGTCGATGTGACACATCACATCAATCGCAAAGTTCACGGAATAACAGCGAGCCTCTTCAATCTGTACCTATGTCCCACAGTTCACCGACACAATTTCACCTGATGCAACAAGTAAATCATGCCCGCGATCCCTGATCGGCCACACAAAGTCCGGTGGACAGCTGATCCGATGACTCGTCACATGGACGGACATTCGGTATCGGGGTGGCTTAGACAGCGGGGCCGGTCCTTATCGGACCACCCAGGGATCGGAACTGGTCCGACCGGCTACCGAAACAGCGGAAATGCTGAAACGCTGCCGCCGAAATCCACCCGAATAGCGGAGCGTACGCACCCATGCACAAGTATGACACAACGATACAGCGACTACCGCTCTTCCAACTACTTTTCCCAGGAATGTATTTACCCCGATGAACGTTAACACCACTAATCGCTCCAAATCCTGTTATTATTGTTGTTGGTCTCAGGGATTCACCTCTGATGAAATCCGCTCGTGGCCAGCAATCATGTAGGTAATCCGAACTCAGAAGCCACGCGAGTGAGGCCATTCAACTTTCCAAACGGGTCCTGTGACCTGTTACTTCCGCTGGCTGTAGTGATACTTCCGAAAACAGGACTGCGTGGTCCGAGAACAAATAAATAATATAAAATAGCAGTCCAGTACGAACTTCAGTTTCAGAAATCCCAAGCGCCCAAAATAGCCCGGCATGACGAGATCGAAAGGACGTTTCAATGATATTTCAAATTTTCAATGCTTCACTACTTTTTTCTTACGAAAGTATAGGTAGAAGCATTGTTCTAATGTATTTGTAAATACTCAACCACACCACCATAGCAGAAGACCGCTCATCGCATCCATAAACCCAGTCATGTGCTCCGCCGGCTGACCAAGCCGCACAAAACACCGCTACAAAAACCTTCCACCGCGTCACGGGTCTCACGGTAGACTTTCCGAGCCGCCACGCATCTCAGCACACCCGTGTCCACTTTTTGCCGAGACCCGAGCGGCCACGAGCCCGTAATCTGGCTCGAAGACCGCGCTCTGCTGCTTCCCAGCTCATCCACCGGGTCGGACAGCGGTTCGAACTGGCCGAGGACACGCCTGCCGGAGCCGATGGCTGTTTGTATGGTCAACTACCGAGCCGGGTTTCTCCCGTACGGGCTCTGTTGACTCTAGCGGGTGGTTACGGTGGTGACGACGGAGGTTTGTGATGATGGAAAAACTGGTGATGACAATGGTGATGATGATGTTGACGGGGTACATTGGTGATGAGAGTAGAGACCCTAGGATGGCAATGACAGTGACTATGTTGACAGAAAGTCAAGAAAGAAAGTGGTCTGTCTCAACGATCTCCATTCGGGAGCACTAGCCTGCACGGACTGAGACCGTACTAACGCCGCACGTTTCTCCAGACGAAGCGGCCGTTCCCAGACAGACAGCTTTGCTGTACTTTCTGTCACGGGCCGACACTCTGCAGCTCGGTTACCTGTGACCCGTCTGTCCCAATTAGCGCCCCGGGCGCTCAGGCCGGTCAGAGCGCGGCCCTAATTGGACGACGAGACGACGCGCTCCATAAAGCACAGCTACTTGCGGTGTTCGTAACCGCTCGGCCGTTGGCTCGGAATTGTTCGTGAGATCAGCCTCCATGAAACCAGCCGTTAGCTGCTTTCTAAGAAAATGTGTGCCTGCATACGAGCCGTAACCCAGCGCATTAAAACTCTGCGGACAATATGCGCTAAATATAGCTAAATCAACGATCCGATTAAAACTTCTTGCCTTATACGCGAGTTACATCAAACTCATCAAATCGTGGATGTTGATATTCCCACATACATTATTGCACTTCGGTAAGGATGCAATCTAATCCCTTCTACAATTCAAAACGGTCGCTGTTACGTAAAAATCCTTGCCGGTGCCGCGGTTCGAACTCACCTCGTTGGTGTACATGACCGGGAAGAGCACGGGCGGCAGCCGCTCCATACCGTCCAGAGAGCCGAACCGCTCTAGGTCAATGTTGATCTGAATCTTCTTACCGCCGTTCAGGGCCAGTCCGGTGAGCTGCCGGATAAAAACAGGGATCAGGGTCAGTGCACCTCGGGTTGCTCTGCCAGAAAACAGGGATCAATTCAGATCACCTCGGTTTGTTCTGTCGGAAAACAGGGATCAGAGGAGTTCGCCTTGGTTTGTTTTGAGGGATGTTAACGCTCAATCCGTCTCCCATCAACGTTGTAAGCCTTGGACAATCGATCTCATGCAGCGACGTACTGAATGAAAATTTAGACTTGTATTCGAAAATATATGGATTCAAGTACAAGATAATGCTGTTTGATGACGTAACTACTAACCTCACCGGTCTTGAAATGTCCTTTCAGACAGAGTTAAGACCTCATCGAATGCCGATTTAAAAAAAAAACATTGTCCACTCTAACAACTGCCACATACATAAGCATCGGAAAGAGGCATCCCAAGGGTTGTTGGAATCACATAATATGCACTACACCGACATAAAGAGGTGTTGCCGCATTCTAGAGGTCATACAAGAGCAGAGTTTCTGCCTTCGTGTAACACTCAATGGTCCCACAGAGAGCACGGCTCCCGCTAAAGCCCGACTCAGATACCCGAAGGAGCCATCGACTCAGGCCATTAGTGCCGACAAAACAGAAGCATTAGCCGAGTCGGCGCCGTGACCATGGCTATAACGGTGCGGCCGTGCAACAGTGTTACAGACTGATACGGACCCCGCGGCAGCGCGCCAATTGTCGCAGAGCAAGGCCACTCAGCGGGCGATCCTGCCGGCTCTCACCAGGCTCACCACAGCACAATAACACCCATCAGCCAGATACGGCCGAACGGAATGCAAATCAGCATCGAAAATGGACGGTATTAACAACTGAGAAGTGCGAGTTGGCTTAGCTTTTAACTCGCGTTTCTCCAAAGCTTTACAGAATGCGGATATTGGCGTGCTATAAGCCGTTTTCACGACGGGCTATCCGGCGAATGCACCTGATTTGACCAAATCTGCACCTAATTTCTTTTACAGCAAATAGAGATAAAGCAGGCATATAGGCAATTAGTGCAACCCTAGCTGATAGCTGCTAAGAGACACACTGAACCTGATTTGACCAAATCTGCACCTAATCTGTACCAGATCTGCACCAAATGTGTACCAGATGGCCGTCGTGAAAACGGCTATTATTGATTGAACATGTATTGGAGGCCTTAATTCCGTGGAGAGTTGTGGTTGCGTAACGGTTGTTATTCGTACCCCTTCGTTATATAATTCATATCTAATGAAGTAGCGTGACTACCATCACTACACCTATGTTATTCGACTATGAAAACGTTTACCGGAAAGCAGCATTGGTATTCAGTTCGTAGCACTAACGTTTTACGGCGCATCCGCTTCCGAAATGACGACTGAATAATTGGAGCTTCATTACGTAAGACCGGGTCTTCCTGTGCTACTAGCAAGAGATAGGAACACAACTACTTCTTTTCGCTGTTTACGCTGCCACTCATTCTCGTTGCAAAGGCGTCCTGGATCGCATTCTTAAACGCACATAATTATAAGGTAGAGCTCACAAACGTGCAGCCTAAGCAACAAGCCCTCTGAATGTTGCAACCCTATTACCCTGCATGCTTCAGCAACAGCATCATTGTTCCCAGAGCCAGTTTACTGAGTGGCTTTAACGACTATCAGCTGCGCCACGACAACATAACATTCTTGCCGGGAGGTGCGTAGTTCTGGGAAAGGCACTGGCCTCAGTCAACCTTCCAGTCCAGCGCCCGTGGCACCCCCGTACCGCCGGCGCCGCTCGATACCGCAAACGGTGCGGCGCGGCGGTCGGACGGTCGGGCGGACGGGCACAGCACGTGAGTCTGAATAAAATACCGCGGCACAGGCCGATCAGGAGCGGCACGGAAAAGCACGGACGACACGGATGGCAGCGAACACACACAGACAGTGCACAGATGTACATAAATATTATAAGGAATAAGGATGACACGGAAGCGGCACGGAATAGCACGGACGGCAGCGAAGCAGCTGCGGCGCGGCAGCGTGGTTGGGATAAGGAGCGAGTACGGAAGCGGCTAGGAAGGTAAACAGAGCCATTGCACGCCCGCAGGTGTGCCGGGCAGCACCGGAGGGGCGCCCCCCGCCCGCCAATGCCGCGGGGCAGGCACTCTCATCAGTGAGGTAGGGTTACCTACTGCCACCGTGAGACAGGCAACAAGGGAGAGCAACGGTGAATAGGTGGTGTGCTCATCACCCGATTGGACAGCCCTGGGTGATCAAGTTGTTGATGCAGGCGTGCGAATGTATGTGTGCCTTTCCATCCGCCTTATCCTAAGGCTGCCCCCTGCGCGCAGGTCCACACTCCTCCCCGTTGGAAAATAACCACAAGAGTTGGTTTAACGTATGATGGTTATTCATTCCACGTGATACGTGACCGGACAAAAGTTGCAAGTAACTAGCAGTTCAGCAGATACGATGAATTTATTCGCATTCAGACCTCCATAACTAAAATTCGTAATACCAGCATGGCAGGGAGACAGAGTAGCGCTATTAACCTGCACTAAGCCGGCTCATTTCAAAGGGCCAAGTTCACTTTTGTCTTCCATAATCACGTATTATTAAACCGAGATCAATTCAGATTATTCGAGCGATGCGTACAATCTTAATGGAATTTCGTCCAGCGTTGTCACACGAAATATAGCCCAAATCGGTAACGCCAGCCGGGTCGAAATGCCTAAAGTTTTAACGATCCCCAGGATAAATGACGCAATTACTACCGAAAGGGACTAGTTCCCTGAGTTTGCTATGTCCAGTGTTACATCATCGCGGCGTTATCTTCGGTTCGTCGCAGCTGTCCGACGGCAGCTGAATGAAGCCGAGTGTTAAATTAGCCTCCTACGTGACACACCGCTAACAGCGCGGCTCTGTGTGCGAAGAGAGTGACAACAAGACAGAACCCGTGTTGGCCCACATGACTGGAAACTACCCGTCACGACTCCCCCGGCGGGGAGGGGAGAGGGGGAGAGGGAGGCCCACTCACTGGCTCAATGTCGATAAACGTCTCGTGGTAGCGTTTGTCCGGGGCGAGGCCGTCCACGGCTTCTAGATAGGATGGATCTCCGTTGTAGAAGTGAGGCGTAGAAGCGACAATTGGTGCTCCTGCGGAGAAAATACGGCGTCATCAGAGGGTAGAGGAAAGGGAGGGAGGGAAAGAGAGAGGAGAGAGAGAGCGAGAGCGAGAGCGAGAGCGAGAGCGAGAGCGAGAGCGAGAGCGAGAGCGAGAGCGAGAGCGAGAGCGAGAGCGAGAGCGAGAGAGAGAGAGAGAGAGAGAGAGAGAGAGAGAGAGAGAGAGAGAGAGAGAGAGAGAGAGAGAGAGAGAGAGGCATAAGTACCGAACCAGTCCCATGACTAAGCCCCGTGACAGTACCATAAATCGCGACGTTACACACCAACAACCACACCAAATCACCCCCAGACGGTGAGCGTACCATTCCCTCCGCCATCTTCCGCCACTCTCCCTCCTAATGCCAGCGGCGCCGCCGGCCGCGCCGCTCACCGAACTGGCAGGGGCTGAGGCTGAGCGCTCCGGCACGCAGGCAGTGGTCCTCCGGGGCGCAGAAGCACTTGTTGTCAGGGTTGACGGCCGGTTCCTCCAGAACAGCGCGCGCCGGCACGTAGCGACGCGTCGAGATGCCGAAGTACTCGACGTCGCGCTCGTAGTCGAGGTAGATGGATCTGTGAAGTCGGGGAGTAAGTAGTTATTATGCTTTTATAACCACCGAGAGATGCCTCGTGCGCTTCTCTACACCGACCAAGAAAATATCGAAACTCGAAAACTATATGTGATAGTATCCCGCGAGTAGCAGGGGAACAGCAGCATTTTCATGATTTGTCCCTGACCTATGGCGTTCGCTGAAACCTGCCATAAATCACGAACACTCATCTAAACGATGCTGCAAGCAAGGTTATGCAGATTTGCAGCAGTTGGAAGTCTGAGAAGAGATGGGGCTGTAGAGAGGTAGCAGTTTCCTTGGCCCACTTACAGAACAAACGATAAACGAGACATTAATTACGACAGGTCTGCATACGTGGCATATGGCCATGAAGGTAGCACATCCTGTTGGTTTGGTTCGACACAAACGCTCGATACAACTGCATGAGACAGCCGAGGACAGACAGTTAAAAAGTAAAACCGCACCGCAAATAATCGCTAAGCTACAAAAAAAAAAAAATCAAACTCCGAACAGACCATTTCAAGTGGACGAGAACAAACTCAGAACTTCTCCAGCGCTAAATAATAAATAAGTGAAATAAAAAAAACATAGGGACAGGAAATATCACATTCCACCACACAGACACCAGTCGCGTCATAAGTAGTACGCACCTGCATAGGTCCTTGTTGAATATGAATATGCGGTCCTTTCTCTCCATGTGCGGGGGATAGGTGATTCCATCTGTGCCGTTCAGCATATTGCAGTAGGACGAGCCCCAGTAATCAAGCGATGACTTGCCCTTGTACGACTCCACGCGCGTGAAACGGTCGATATCATTTTTACCCGTATCGATCGTATATGGGCCGTCCAGAGAGTTGTTATACTGGGAACAAAAATACAAAATGATCAAGATAATCGTACGCAATACGCATGTTTAGTGCAACAATCGGCCTTTTAGGTGCTAATGCATTATGACGGCGGTCTAGTCCTCTCACACTAGCATATGTGTTAGATCTCTCGATATGCGCGCTATTGAAGCCCGCAGCTGCGCCGGAAGCATATCGAAGAACCGGTACCTATACGAGACATCTGAGCCGCACTCAAGGTCCCGAGAAACCAGCTCCACTACGACAGGTCAACGCCCTCAGCATTGCAACATACGTCCGGTGGAATGATCTTTAACTGGATCAACCACCCCATCGGAACAACGGTCAAATGGCCACGTGTGTTTCAGTGAGCAGCATACCGCGGTTGTTTCGAGCTAAGGTGTCACTGATCGATAGCCAGAATCAGCAGAGCGGACAAACCAGGTCTCAGACGGACCACCCGAGACTGAGCGCCGGCTATTCGTTCCGGTCTCGCAATCGAGCGGAGCATGTCACCGCCAGTAAACCTCAGCGAGCTTCAAGAGTAACTAGCCGCATGACTCAGCAAACAAGTCGGTCTGATCATTCCGGTTATCGTTCAACACAAATCCCTGGTTTTAGCTATCCTGGAGCATTTACATCACAGACATAACGTCAACCAATCCAGCCAACAACAAAATAACCTCTGGCGGATAGCGACAATCGACATACCGACACAAATTTTCCCATCACTCTAGTGAGGAAGCCCGCCGGTCACATCCCTTACACTCACCATCATGGACGGAAAGCGGCCGTTCTTCAGTCTCTCCAGGTCGCGTGGACTGCCGCACAGTCCTCTGCCACACAGACCATCCAGGATGGCTCCGGTGCCGGGCAGCCTGAGCAGGCTCTTCAGCGCCGGCACCGGCGACCCGTCGAACAGCAGCTGTCGTACGGGGACGGAGACGAACGGACGGCGCAGCTGCGGCCCCATGGTGGCCGACACGAGTCCACTGAGAATCATCGAGAGCGGCAGCGAGGCCACCAGTTCCTGCAGCATCTGTGACACGGGGTGGGGGGAGGGGACTGGGGTTAGCGGAGACATGGGGAACGAGAGCCGAAACCGCGAGACAGGGGAGATGGGCGGGGAGGGTAAAACCATAGAGCATAGACTGAGGAGAGCTCAGAGTAAATGAGGATTCTAGCACAGAAAAGAAATATAGTAATTCAGCATTTGCAACATAAAACGTAGGCAGAGATTCATACCATTTGACAACGTATTAAGAGGTCAATATGTCATTTCTTCAGGTCGCAGCGGAGAGACATGTTCGTTCGGGACACGACAAACAGTTGAGTAGAGGCCGGTGTACTGGAGTGTAACGGGGTCGAGGTACTAACGCGTAGCAACCACGGTCCGGTTACCGCGAGGACTCTTCTGCGTAGCAGCATATTTTCTATTCGGTGCATGCAATTAGGCGATGCTATGCAGAACTGGCGCAAAGCAAGCAGCCGACGGCGCTACTCCGCGAGTAAACTGAAGACAGAGAGCTCCCGGGCGAACTACACGCTGCTTTTAAGCGGTACACAATACGTCTGTAAAAGTTTCGCAATTACCACATCCAGTGTGCCACAGACCTACCATTTCGCCAGTGCGCGAAAACAGGATATGATTTGCCAGTTACTCAGAACAACAATCATTGCAAAGCCGCAAAGCCTTCCTCAATCACCAAGCAGAGACGCATTTTGGGAGGTCGAGCTTCAAGACAGCACGCTACACCTTGTGTTTAACGTCACAGGAATTTTAATTGGAAAGTAACTATTAAAATATTAGCACTCTACAAGAAATGAAATGAACGTATGACAAACTACCGCCAAAACTATGCAAAAATATGGTATGAAGCACAAACTAGGCCCCACCTTACCTTCGTCATCGACAACAACATGTCCAAAAAGCGCATACTGGCTAATCACGACTGAAACCAGCCCCCACCCAGCCGGGACCAATCAGGAATCTCGGGCCAGCCGCACAGTCGGCGGCGCTCCCGCACGGCGATAGGGCACGCGCACTTGGACCCACACCCGTGGCTAACCATCCGATGAAGCCGACACACGCATGACTAGCCATCAGATAGCGCGGCCACCTGTATGCTCCGGAATAGGTGCGGCGGCGCCGGGGGCTGAGGAAGGGTAGCGCGCGGTTCGGTACGGTGTCGCACCTGTCTTATCTCGCGCGCCGTGGCTTTGATCAGGAATATCACCTCTGGAGACAAAAGACCTCAGCGCCTATCTAAAATCAGCCGGTGACGTTACACTGAAACTATTTCCCATCGTGACTAGAATCAGCCGGTGATGACGTTGGACTGAATCTGTTCCAATCATAAGCACAAGTCTCGGCTATATGCAAGTCATCACAGTCCGATGCATCTTGCAACAGTGTATTTTCTTTTTTGTCCCGCGTTGCTTTAATACAAACAGAAGGCGCTCACCAAAATAAATACCTAAGTCTGGGAACGTTTACAACATGGCTACTGTATATTGCAGCTAGCATAAATAGGTCGCAGCCCAACGCTGATCGAGGACCGCACGGCGTCCGCAAATATCAATTACCAGGCCTTTTCTCAAGATGAAATGTGATCAGAGCTTGTGTCAGCGTCAATAAGATAGGCAAACCGCAGTCAGCGTTGCACCTCGAAATAGCACTGACTTGGTGTACCATTTCTGATATTGTCACTGGTTTTATGCGATAAGTCGTAACGATCCCGCAGCATTTCGTGGCATCCCCGATTTAGCTTCTTGCGCTGACGGCTTTTCCAAAAACACACATGCCTGTCAGGCGCGGACAAAGCGGCTTACCTACCACAACAGCCCAGAGGTCGTGGCCGGAGCCGAGACCATCCGTCAATGGCCGCTGTCAATGTCGGATTACAGTCGCGGCGTCTCACAGGGGGTGTTTCAACACGCCAGAGAGATATGGTAGAGTCAGACTGTGACAAAGCTAAGTCAAAGAGTCAGGCTGTGTCCGCCTGTGTCAGTGCTGCCTGCGAGTCAGACTGTGTCTGTGGTGTCAGCAAGTCAAGCTGTGTCCGCCTGTGTCAGTGCTGCCAGCGAGTCAGAGTTTGTCAGTCTGTGTCAGGGGTGTGTCAGTGTCAGTCGAAATAGCGCATTCCTTTGTTCGTAACGCATTTACGAACGATGCTTCAAAACTCAGGTAGCAATATCGCTTCCACCTCAGAACCCAGCCACTGTAACCGCACAACCACAGTGTCAACAGTTCAACACCCTTCCCCACCGGTCCCCTCCCCACTCCAACACAAAGAAGCAAGAACCAGTCATAACTCAGGTCTGTCCCACCCCACACCCCTCCCGAACTACCTTTACTATGGTATCGTAGCAGAGTAGCGTTGGTAAGCCACTGACCAGCATTGGAGCGTTGACGGTAACGATGCTGGTGTCCTCATCCACGCCGGGCGCCGATGTTTCCGGGTCGAACGCATACGACAGGTGCTCGGAGTAGGTGAGCCGCGCGCCGTCTTCCGACCAGCTCAGGTTCACCCGTCGCCGGCTCTCCCTGTGAAGGAGAGGGGTGAGGATGTCGGTGACGATCTCCCTGTAAGGGGGAGGGGCGGATGTCGGTGACGATCTCCCTGTAAAGGGACAGGGGCGGATGTCGGTGACGATCTCCCTGTAAGGGGGAGGGGCGGATGTCGGTGACGATCTCCCTCAGGGGCACAAGCCAGTCAGACTCTCTTTGTGAATGGACAGGGCTTCATGTTAGCGAAACTCCCCTTGTGAAGGAGACAGCCGTCATGGGTAGAGGTATATGAGGGTCTCCCTGCGAACGGTACATGGTGCAGATTAGAGATGTCAATCGGATACCAACTTTTTGGTATACCGATACCAAACCGATACCAACTTGGTATTTGGTATTTCAAGGCGAACGCATTTGGTATTTTGTTGGTTTTATGAATCCTCTCTAATGTAAAAAAGGCTGAGAATTTGGTAAAAAGTTGTTATTTCCTTCATATTTCCAAGTCGGTTCGGTTTCGGTATTTTTCCATGGGCATTGTTGATATTTGGTTTGGTATCACGATTTTCCGCAATTGACATCACTAGTGCAGATATCGTTGAAGATATGCACAATAGGCAGACCGGACAGACACTGGACAGACAACGTCAAGTCTCTCGCTTGAAGGGGATACGGTGCAGATGTCGTTAAGGATATGCACAGTAGTCAGACGGCACAGGAAGCAGCTGTGGCCGACCGGCTGTGCATTAGCATTGCACTCTCACCACAACACGCTACGATAGGGTCGCCGGTATTACCATACGGAAGGGCTCTCGCTCTCAATGCCGGTTGCAGTCAGCATGTGTCACACCATGCCACACATTGGGGAAACACATCGCACAGACAAGTGCACCACCTAACGCTTACAAAAAGCGCGTGCTTCCTTCGGGTTCACTCGAAGACAAGGGTAAAACGTTATCTCTAGTCGATATTTGGGATGAAACGGTGTTCAATGATAAGTGATAACACCCGACCTATTCAGCATTTACATAAAATAAGTCGGGGTCTACAAGCAAAATAAATACCAGGCTAACTAAAGCTCAGCTTACGCCTGCACAATCACCAATACCACATAAATAAATACCAGTACCTACAACAGACCTGACGGCAAAGGTCAGCTGCCGGCTCTTAGGTATCTCTAATTACACAAGCTCTCCAGGTAATAACAAGATTCCGCAGAAGGCCAGGACAATCCCGGCATCCACAACGCACCCAGACACGCATTGATACGAGCCAAACAATTCGCAACTCCGTGAAACCCGGATACCCCGTATTACGCGTCACGTTGGGTGCGCCTTCCAGCACGTGAGACCTGGAGACTGTGGCAAACTTTGCCACTCGCGTCCCCACGGGACCGCGCTGCATCCTCTCCCGGGTCCGCTCTTACACAAAACATGCATCTACGAAAGAGCAAGCTCAGTTTCTATGGCTTTATCTACCTCCATAAAGAAATGTCGGTACAATCATAGGTAGGATGCACCACTTCCATGTTGAGGATGTGAGTTGCAACTTCAGTGTTGACACGAGTTAGTGTTTTTTTTTCGCAATGACGGTTGTAGATTAAAGTCGTGATTCGCTAGGTATTTGCGACCAGCTCCCGCCTCTCTGCTCATGTCAAACACCAGTAGCTACTTCTCATCGGCGGCACGGGAAACGTGGACGCTGGAGGGAGGGGGGGGGGGGCAGAGGAAACGGCACAGCCAACAAAAACAGATAAATGCGCTCGGTCCAAAGATATTCTAAATGGCGCAGTAAAATTGAGCGAGTCAAAGGAAGATTGGGGTAAACCAGAACATATAATATCCCCAATCGAAATGATGAAGAGACGTTCCAGGTCAATATTTCATAAAGTCAGCTCCACGAATGCCGTAAAACGGCAATAACCCCCAACGTGGAGAATTTGGTTATAATGAAAAATAAATATGGGAGCAGCGCCGTTATATAACCACGCCAAGTGGAAAATGCATATCACGGTGACAATCAGCACAAGAGCGGAAAGCGCGCACGGGAAGTTCAATATTAGTAGAGTGAATAGTTCAACGGAGCCTATTCGTATGTAAACTGTGGCCCTCCCTCAGTCTCCGACGATCCCACTAAACACGTCATCGGTGACGTCACCACTTATCCACAACAGTAGCGGGTATAACGTCATCACTTATCGCAATTCGGTGGCCTAGAGCGGCGGAGTGGACCATCCTTGGACTCCGCTCCCCAATACCAGCAACAGCTATTATGAAATCACTGAAACGGAACTGCGGTGACTCATCACATTCGCGGTGAGTCGATATAAAACAGCCACTGCCAGTGTTCCAGAGTCTCACAAAAGTCCGGGGTCCACCAAACACAAATAGCATACTAATACAGGCTTATATGCTGCCCGGTCACTGTGGTAGAGTGCCGACCCTAATACCCGTCGGCGCTTCTTGCCGCGGCATTTCCTTAGCTCTGACCGCCGCCGTATCGGCACCCGCTCGGTCAGAGTCGACTACGTGACCCCGCGTCGTCCGCCTCAGAGGGTCAGAGGGATTACCTGGGACCCAGCCGACACAGATAGAAGGCCAGCTGGGGCACCAGCTGGGGCACCTGTGCAAAAGGCCGGTGCATCGAAGCCGGGCCCCGGGGCCGATGATTAATTAAGCGTGGTCACAGTGGTTGGAGGATGCCGAAGGATTTGGTTACAAACGCGAATCGCTCAGGCGTGTACTTGCATCGTAACCTCAGCTACTGTTACAGCTAATCTTACACTTTGCATTATACCCAAGGCCAATGCATACAAATTACAGAATACAGATGTCCCCACCGTCAATTACAAATTGTAATACCCTCTACTTATGAGGCCAAATTAAGCTAAAAGTTTTCTCAGACACCGACTACGTGAGGTACCAGAAAAGGACCATCACGTCTCCAGACTCGACGCACCATTGCCTATCTATGGCGACATGGTGTGCCCACGTCAGCAGCGCCGGTCTGGCGCCGCCGGTCTCTGAAAGCCGCCCTCCAGCTGACGCTCTGATTCGGGCACGTGGGCCGCGGGAGATCTAACGACGGTTTGTTCAGTGGGTGGGTGCCGCATGTGCACTCTCGACAGTTGGCCGGCGCTTGTTTGTCGGACCGTAGATGGCCACCAGAAGTGAAATGGAGATAAAAGGGTGGATTGAAAGCAGATCCATATTGCACGAAACGGTAACACCTATTCGGACACGCAGACAGAGGAAGTCTGGTCTTTCTGTGTGTCGACGACCAAAGAATCACTGTGCAGCCTTTACAATTCAATTCAGGAGAAATTCCTACAAAGTTCACTCTTAGTCGGTAGTGGGCGCTGTGATAGGAGGCGGAAAAACTAACGTAACCCCAGTCGCCTTGGGAGATGACAACAAAACAAAGGAGTTCGGCGGGCCAAAACACGCTACACTCGGGGCGCCCACCGGGACAGAGACTTCGGCCGGTTATTTACGGTTGTCGTGTTCTTCCGTGAAACTGTCAGGCCGAGATAGCCGCTTTTCTTCAGCACGTGCTGACACACTTTCTCGGCCACAAAACAAACTCAGGAGAGCTCCAAGGCCCCGCAAGGCTCTCAAAACATTGGGGACGGTTCTACAAAGCAAATGGGCCGCATCGTGCCTCGTCTAGTACGATATACTATCGACCGGCGTCCTTCACCATTCCCCAAAGAAAATTCGGTTTACCAAAAGCTGAAACGTTTTTATCGCGGCAGCTGAGAATGATTACGGAGCGAGCGAAGCGAGCGTAGTCTTTCCTTAGATTAACGGAAATTTCTGAGTATGAGCGGCCGGCCGGCCGGCCGGCCGGCCGGCCGGCCGGCCGTGGTCACGCTTTTGCGAGGCTTATATCTCAGCAACCACTTGACCGATTTACACGCGGTAATTTTTGTAGGGTAGCTTCATTCCTTCTACCAAGTATTGGACTATTCCCGATGCATGTGGGTGACCCCTTATGCACGTGCCACGTGCAAAACGAAGAGGTGTCAGTTTTGTAATTGTTACAATATCTCGGTAACTACTTGGCCGATTGCGCTGAAAGTTGGCATGTAGGTAGGCACCCACTAGGCACTGCATATACATGTGCCAGAGTTGGGGTGCTGCTGCACGTGCGCACGTGCAGGGGTCGTTTCCAGATCTCGGGAACGGCTGGACCGATTGCGCTCAAATTTGGTACACGATTAGGGACCGGTTAGTAGGGTGCCGTGCACAAGTCAGTTGGGACCCATTTTGCACGTGCGCACGTGCAGGGTGCCGCTTCCAGATCTCGAGAACGGCTGGGCCGATTGTGCCCAAATTTGGCACATCGCTAGAGACCAGTTAGTAGGGTGCCATGCACAAGTCAGTTGGAGGTACCCCCTCGCAATTTCGCACGTGCAAGGCCCACCCTCTCGCTCGCTCCGTTAGTCGCCCCAAAAGGCGTTATACTGGTACTATAGTTCGTTTTTTCTAAGTTCGACCCTCACTGTAAACATCTCTTCGAACACAGCACGAGAATTGGTAGCTGAATTACTGAGAAAACTCGTTGGCGCACAATGATTTCGCGGACGATCAAGTGTATCAAAATTATTTCTACCTGGCTTCTTTTGCCCAGACTCGCAGCTCGGTATTTGCAACCCCACAAGGATCGAGGACTTGTCAGGAAGTAAAACTGAACTAATTAATAAATCGCACGGCGTTTAGTGTAACAGTATATCATCGGTGTTAGAAACTTGTTTTGAAAATATTTATTCATATCTCCAATACAAAGTGCGCTAGCCAGTTTTCTCAGTAATTCAGCTACCAATTCTCGTGCTGTTTCCAAAAAGATGTTTACAGTGAGGGTCGAACTTAAAAAAACGAACTATATACCCACAGTGTATATAAATACAGTGGCGGCAAATGCGCTTGGTCACGTGACCAAATCTGCACGTGCAGTTGTGGCGAGGGCACTTCCCGAAACTCTGGTGCCAACGGCCTCGCGGCGCCCATAGAGAATACATGGGACCTTTTCTTTTCAGACCTATCGTGTCTAAACCAAGCCATTTAGTGCAAGGATACGACTGGTTTGAGATTCAGTAGTCTTTTGGCTATCAGTCGGCATAAGAAACATATTTTTATCGGCAAAATTCGCAAAGTACCAGGTGGTTTTCCGATACCCTGCACGCCTCCTAACCCCCGGCGGCCGACCGGAGAGTCAGTAGCGCTCCACTCACGACTTTTGGCGATAGCTCAAAACACCTTACAGCTAGAGGGCTGCTATTTGGCACACCTTATCTTTGCTTCCATACGCATCTTTGGAAACCAATTGCATTTCCGTCTCAGGTCAGATCACTGACTTATGACGTCACACGTGAACCTCTGCAATAGTTCCAAAATACCGAAACTTCGCAATGCCCTCGGTGCCAGAGGAGCTGTCACAGCGAGATGATACTTACAGGACCTAGTATCCTCTAGGAGTCTCAAAACTTGTATATCTCGGATTTCTCCTAGAGGTCACATGAGGTCAGGCCGATCGCGTGACGTCACCATTACAAGTCAATGGGGAAAATAAGGAAACTGTAATTTTGACGCCGAGAATGATCTAAACCTAGCTCAAGCACACGAAATCGCAATTTCATGCAATTCTTGCAATGTCCAATGCTTCACTTTTGCATCTTTAACCTAGCGTGACGTCATTCATGACGTCACAAAGGTCACAAGTTTTTTCGTCAATAACTCCTGACAAAATTGAACTGGCAAGTCGGAAAAGTCGCTTATAGACTCGGGAAGACCTACCGAATCGAATGATATACGATATGACCTCCTCCGACCAAGTTCGTGACCTGAGTGCCTCTGACCTGGCTTTGACCCGATGTGAGCACCTTATGTTGACCCCACCCAAACAAAAGTGTACCATTTTGACGCACCGGAGCATGACAAACATGATGGTACTAAAATCGCGACTCTGCGCCGTTTTTTTTCGGCAAAGTTATTTTTCAAAACCCAAAATCGTATTTTGGCCCTTGGGGCACTTGACCTGACCCTCAGAGGCCACCAGTTGACCTGAGACTTTTTAACCGTGCATCAATCGCTGCGTCCCCGGTCTCGTAACGGCACACATGCTTGTTTTTCCCGCGAGGCTAGCTCAATTAGGGCGAGGGGTTCGTACCCGCCCACTCTCGCGGCGGGAGCGTTGGTATGTAAAAAAAAAAAACTAAGAAGTCTGGTGATGATTGATGCAAGATTCTTACAGATAATGGTAGATGAAGGTAGGGCATCAGTTATTAAAGATAAGTTAAACAAATTTGCAGCCCTCAGTAGCATTGATTTATGCATTAAGAGTTATAAAACCATAGGCGGCGGAACGGGGAGGGCACCGGGGCACCGTGCCGGGTGCCCCCTATAATTTTGGCATTTAAACATTAGCCCTATGGGCGTTGCATGGAAAGAATCGGACCGAAAGTCGGCAGTGCCCCCCCCCCCCTATTGAAGGTGTTCCGCCGCTACTGTATAGAACAACTGTAAGCTGCAGGCTCAGCTCTTCAGTTTCTACCTATGCCTGCAAACACAATAAAATCAATGGAAGAGTAATAATAGATTAATTGCATTTTATTGATGCTATTCAAGTATCAATGGTAACTATGTCACCGATGATTCAATATTATTTGCACGGTATCATTTACCACCATGCGTCTAAATATTTAGTATATAAAATAATGCAGTAAAATAAGCTGCGCCACGTCTGTCGACAAAATCTGGTGCCAACTCAAGGTCACACGGAAAATGTGGTCACGTGACCAATGTCCGGCAGCTGTATATACCAACATCGTTGCTCTCATTATGGAGCGCTGCACAATCGTGCGAAAGTACTCGAATATTGAAAAACAGCAAAAAGCGGAGTAAGCTTTCCACCGCATGGGAATATCCAGACAAAGATATCTATTAAACACCATTTCGATCGAATTTTGATGATTTTCAGCATGATGCATTTGGCTTGAGATCCAAAGAGTGCGGGAAAAGGATGGAAGCCTGATGAAAACAAATATCAGATCAGATTAGATCCATAAATCACCGAGTTGGTAGTACCTACTCTACTAGCCGGGCAAAACAATTCAAAGACGAGCCGCCGGGTAGCTGGGTCAATGGGACTTATGCCAAACACATTTACGTGAAGTGAAATCATTGCCAATCATGAATACATCAGCACACCAGCCATCACCAATAACATCGCATATCGCATTCTCCTGCCGGACCTTGAAGCCACCGCGGGTTTTTCCTAGTCTCGGACGGGCACAAGAAGCGCCGCCCGCTCAGAGAAGCGCGGACACGGCTCAAATCAGTCTCCGTGCACCGGCGGACGCTCGCACCGCCCGCCCGCTTTCGCCGCACGCTCTCTGCACGCGACCATGCCGCGTTCGGTGTCGGCCTGCCTTCACGGACCGCCGGCTAGGAGAGCACGCAGCCTCAACGAGCACCGCCAGGTCGGCAGACGGTTCACCGGGCCACAGCCGCCGGCTGGGGTTTACCCGACCTCGGTCCTATCGCCGAGTGCCCTACAAACCAGTGCTGCTATCCGCTAAGATCCGAGCGTAGGACGCATCACAGATATCATTTCTATACCTTCCATCGCATTTTGGAATGACTGCGTGTCACTGGCCAGTCATGTCCTGACCAAGACCCAGCTATGAACGCCGATGGCCACAGTACCGAGTTAGTTTCGTGAGTGCCGTGACCCAACTCACACTGAAGGTCAGCCAGCGTCGGCGGGCCGTCCGCTACCATCGATCAGCCCAATACCGTGAGCACTTCATCAACGGCTGCGTAGCTTTGTAATTCTGCTCTACACGGACAAAAAGCATGACTCTATCTATCCAACTACTCAGATGATATGACTAACTGATTATGTCCATACTAATATGTATACTACGACATTCGCCGCAACAAGGTTTTAAATTGGTTCCAAGTCACGCTAAGAGAACTATAGAGCGCAACTAAAGGGTTGATATATTTAGCTCAATGAATAACAGAACAATGTCCAAAAGAAACTCATCATGCCCACTGCCCACCTTCTAATAAATCCGCAGCCGTTCTGACCCATCTCGTCTCTGCCGACACCGCTCGCGCTGCTGACCTACCTATAGGAGAAGGGGCCGACCTCCTGCAGCATCGGCTTCTCGCCGCGCGCAATCACCGCCTCCGCGTTGGTGACGTTGAACATGATGAACTGCATGAAGACGTCCACCTTGTCCGTGGGCGCCTGCCAGCCCTCCAGGCTCTCTGAGCTTGGCGTCAGCACCATGCTCTGCAGGGAGTCACATAACACACATAACGTTAGTGGCCGCGAGTAAAGAAAGGGCTACACGCTTAGGATTTCAAGAGGGGTGTGGTGTATCGTAGTTAGGTCTAAGGGCTAAGGGCGTAAAGAAAGGGCTACACGATTAGGATTTCAAAAGTGACGAGATGTATCGTAGTGTTAGGTCTCAATGGGGGTTTCGGAAAGCGAGGCGAAAATATTGTGTGACCAAAAGCTACTTTGTAATGTTTTGTATGACAAAACTACTTTGTAATGTTTTGTATGACAAAAGGTTATCAAGGTACGGTTAGGTATTAGCTGCAGACTGGATCGTGTAATAGCTCAGTCATTCTCTCATGAACGTCTCTCCCCAAACATAAGCCGCGCACCGACGGGGGGGGGGGCGGTAAGCGGGTAACCGCCCCCCCCCCACACACCTGAGGTTTTGCGTAAAAAGCGGGAAAACCGCGACGCGCAGCGCCGCGAAATTTGGCATGACTTTTCCCTCATCAATTTTACACATGGTGTGCAAGTTTGAACCTCCTACTTTTCAAGGTCAAGTCACCAGGTCACTTCGAATGACCCAACCTCAGATCACTTTTTTGCAACTTTATCACCGTGTCAGAGCTACAGTAGATGACGGAGGCCTTTGAAAGTCGCAGGATGTAATAAGATCATTGGTAGCTACAATTCGTATATCTTGGAATTTTGATATCGATGACCTAAGGTCAGGTCAATTTCTTGACCTCCCATTACATATAAGTCAATGGGGGGGGGGGGGTCACCGACCAACCCCCTGTTTTTCCTCTAAAACGCGTCGGAACGGCCCAATATACCATGAATGACTTCATATGCGATCAAACTTGACTACCTTGAGGTCTTTTTTGCTCTTGGGCCGCTGTAAGGTCGTGTGACGGTCATCAAGGATCACTAAAGGTTTTTTGCTAATAACTTCTTACAGGAACACGATACAGCTGCGCGGATGGTCTCATTGTGTTCAGCTCGTCAAGGCACATCGCATGATATACATGATGACCTTGAGGTCACGTGACCTGAGGTCAACATTTAACCTTGACCTTCCGAGGTCAACACATACATGATTCGATGCAGATTGACAAGAGGATCACGATCGATAGTGCCATTATTTTGTTCCAAGCTTGTCTACTTCGAAAGTTATTAGAGGAAAACTTCATTTCTAGCCCCGCAGTTGACTTTTTTACCCCTGTGACGTCATCTTTGACCTGACCCGAAAATGGCCCTAGTAAAAATTGTAGACATTGTCCGTGCGTACCCCATGCCCTTTACTGCTTTTCGATATATTGCTTGGTACATTTTAGGTCCCAGATGACCCTCGGAACGAATCACCCCAATACCTGTATAGCACGACCCACAAAAAGAGACCCAGCTACTTGGCCTTCAAAGCGAGCCTGACGCTCGGACCACGGCTCAACAGCCGGTCAAAGAGACGAACAAGCAATCATCAGGATAGGGCGATGGTGCCACTTCGCTGACACGATTCAATTTAATTTAATTGGCTCAGTACACTGAGCTCACTGTTGCCGATAGAAGATCCAAAGTAATCGTAAAGGTATCACAACTCTTCGTAGAACGCAAGTAACGACCATCCTTTGCGAGATAATTGGGTTCTCCAGGCCTTCGCAATTTCATAGAAAGATTCAAAGGGGTCAGTTTTCAAGCATCAAACGAAGTGGACTAACAGGCAGCTCTGACATGACAACTGGCTTCTCCTGTAGTGCAGAAAACGTTGAAAGAGTCGGTCACACACGACTCACAAGAAAACACCACTTCTGGCGATCCGCCGCAGCTTTCTGCTGCCGTGTGCATTTTGTGCCATCACTGAGCAGTTGGAGTGGTCAGATCCGACACTTTCCCTCCTGCCCCACATCCGGCACAGCGTCCGGGCCCTGTTGCGCTTACGTCACAGCGCCGAGCGGTGATTCCCTCGGCGGTAATGGTCGCAATATTCCAGGGAGCTCTCGTGTACCCCATGCCCTGCCTCACCAGTGACAGCTGGCTGGTGGGCTCGACAGGCGCTCATTACACGTCAACTGCAAACCCCAGTGCAGCTATCGTGCAATATATCTTCCAACCAAACAACCTGAGCAAAGTTGCAATGTTTAAACGATAGACTAAATACGCAGGAATAATGGAAATTTCATTCCTCATGATTTTTGGAGAGCATTCATGGAAGGCACTCTCACTTTCGCATCAGCCTTTTCCTTTCTTTCGGCATCGGTCGGCCGCCGGATAGCCCCCACGGTCAACAGGATCTCCACTGCACAGCGTAAATGGGTAACGCGGTCACCTGTACTCCACAGGCCGCATTATGCATGCACGACTATCGCAACTCGGTGCCCTCCCTTCTAGCGGACCCGCCGACTCACCGCTGTACCGCTGATTCTCCGAACAGCAAGTCGGACGGACGTCTCAGTCACGGCTTTCAAACGGGCTTCCGATATTAGCGACTTTGGTTAGACTACCGAACATTTACAGATTTACAGAAGTAATGAAATGGAGAACGAAAAGCACAGACAATTGAAAAAGAACGTTTTGGTCTGCACAAGGAGTTGCAAGCAATGCCATTTATACAGCTCAAGGCCAGTCCAGACCCCTTCTATGGCTTGAAGAAACTGACAAACTCCGCCACCAGCGGCGGAGTGCGTCTGACGCCTCCAGTTACAGGGCGAAGTCCGGTTATCCGTTTCCCGTGCCCGCACCGCCGCGCGGCCGGCCTGGCGAGCCATCTCGTGCAGCGGGCTGCGCCACTTTTCAGATTGACTCAGCAGCCTCGTGACACAGCACTGTGCCAGAGTGAGACACGCCGGCAGCACGCGCGACCGGCCGATGAGAAGTCTCGATAGCACGCACCGAGGCAGAACCGGCTGCTGAGGCTCGGCCCGTGGCGGGCGGTACCGGATGGAACGGAGCGGGTGGGGCCGGAACGGTGGGAATGGGCAGATAAATCGGCGAGCGATGACCGAACGATGACGACCGGTGTCTGGCCAGGACACGAGCACCGGCCGGGGGTACTGCTACTAGATATATCAGATATTTACCTCAAAGGTACCATTAGTGTGACTTCAGGAAAATATGGAGCAATAGCTCCACTGGTGTTGGACAATAAGGGGTTTCATATATGCATTGTCAGGTAGGTAAATCAATGTCAACCACATATGACGTGTGCAGTCCACAGCAGAAGTAATGTGCGGTTTCAGTCATGGGTATGTTCTGCTTCTGAAGCTTAGGAATGATTAGCCAGACTACAATGAAACTTTGAATGTAGCTTATATGTATCGTCACCCTTGCAGCTGCAACTTCAGCTATTGACATCTTCTTTTCGATCACTCCACATTAAACAATCGCCAGTCAAAGCCAACCGTTGAGATTGGTAAAACCCTACATTACTTTAGCGGTGGGCTGTACATACTTATATGGCCTTGATGTACAGCTGATAATTCACCTGCTCTATAAAATCAGTCAGACTAAATTTTGGATGATATGAAGCTGAGCTACTACAAATACCTCCAGGGTTATTGCTGTGCTTGCCTTGGAATGGCCAAAATCTTATCAGTAAAAACTCTCAAAGGGAACTGAAACTATAGTCAAGAAACAACATTGCTTGACTAAAAGTTAAACGAGGGTGGAGGAACAACATTATTAACCTATTACCTGTATGCAGGTTATATTTCCATTGCAGAAAATGCATTGAATACTCAGCAACAAATTTAGCAGCATCAACACTTAGTTCCAGATAAACAAGTGAGAAATTACCATAATTCACTGAACTTTTCCCAAGGATAAATGAAAAATATCCCATTTACCTATCCCATTTGACTGCACAGCAGTGCATCACGTGCTAGGTTACCAGATAATAGATTATTGGTGACCAGCCCTTAAGACTGATGAAATTGAAATAGGTCTAATATTTCATGGTCACATGGATATCTCTTAGGGGCCTATACAAGTGTAGGTATGTGGGCATCTCATCAGATGCACATTGCACATGTTACCTACCAAACTGTGAGCATGCTGATGAACTTACTATGACCTTGACGATCATGCTGATACACCTGATCTGATCCAACCTGACTCACACTTGTATACCTTACCTTAAAGTACACAGCTCTGTAAGACACTACCTTGTCGCACAAGGTCACTGCACAGCACTCATTCTGGGTTACGTAGCTATTTTAAAATCTCAAATATTTGGTATGTAATGCGGTTCAGCTCAACTAAACAATGTGCCTAGTTAAAGAGAAAATGGAATTTTCAAAGTAAAATATCATCAAACTAACTAAATAATTTAGGATCAAACATTTCAATTTTTATCACTCAGCCTGATGACTCACCTTTTCAAGCATGTTGTCAATGATGACTGGAAAGCCATACCAGCCCAGCACGCAGCCAATGATGAGAATGCAAATACCAATGGAAGCGGTTGCTCCCACTTTTATGTTAGGTTGCATTATTAGACTGAATATTAAGAAATATGCCTAAACTAGCATCAAAACCAGATTGACAACCAGCATCCCAAAGCAGAACCAAGAGGTGAATCCACCTTAGCTTGGGCAGTCCGATATTAAAATGCTTTTGATAGGATGCTTCTGAAACCAGCTTTAGCCCAGGACATACAAGACAACTTGGGACTGAGCGCGACCTAGCTTCCACAATCTCGGCAACGCAACTGACTCGCCAAAAATCGTCACATTTCTGTTGTTATCAAGGTTTTTCATTTTACTGTAGCAGAAAACAGTGTCAGCTGCTCACTGCCACAGAAAATGACGTAAATTTACTGTATTTTTCCAGAATCGCATGCTTTATTTGGAAATTCTCTAATGGATTTGCAAAATCGGACATCGTTACAAACAACTAACATTAATATTAACCTAAAAGTCTCCTATTTTGCATGTATAACTCTACAAGTTGTATTAGACGTCACGCCTGTGCGCTGATCTTCAATTATCGCAATTATCCAGGTTTATGTAATTAGTGAAGCTGAAAAATAATGAAAACGTCCCATAAGCTGATAAAAGAATATTTGAGAAGAAACTGAAGATTAAAACGCTGAGTTTTACCTTAAAAAGACATACAAGGTAAAAGAGGCTTTAAAGGAATGTATACTGCCATCTATGGACATTTATAGCAAACTATGCTTTTCATTTCTGACAGCAGGTGGCGGGCTGCTCTCTAAGAGCGAGAAATCTCCATCCTAGCCTGACATCTACAGGTGAATTCTGCAACCACTTGGAGGTGTAGTGCGGCACAGCTTCATGCAGGCGTTGATCACAGAGCCATCTATGAATCGCTTCGGCAATGAGTGAAAACACAGATCTCTGCATATGAAGGGACGGATTATATCGGCGATCGCTGAATTTATTTTGACAATCCATCTTAATATTTATCTAAGGACCAGTAGGTAAGGCATAAGAGGATACAGCAAGACCTCATCTCATACGCAGACGCACGGAGGCCGGAGGCGGTCGGGGTCGTTCCACCGCCGTCGGGGTCGGGGTGCCGCTCAGACCCTGTGTCCCCTGGCGCGGCGGTCACAGCGCCCCGCCGGCTCCCGGCCACGCAGTGTGCACTTTTTTTTTTAGAAATACCTCATTTTATTCAGCTAAAGACATCGTTTCACATGCAAAGATAAAAAGGGAAACAACATAATAAACTGATCGCTTAGTGACTCCTAGCAGCTTAGATAGACCGGTCAAAAGTTTCAGCCAACCCTGTCCACTTCTTTTCATGGTCACATAATTTTACCCTTTTGAGAGCTATGTGTTTTCGGTGATCATATCCCTTTCAAATTTAGTTGTTAAAATGTCAACAGAGAGTGGGTATTTACCAGCAATCATCGTTTTTCCTACGATGATAATGCGCAGTGAGCACTTGATTGCACAAGTCTTTGCGGAGGTAGAAGAATATGTAGCCGTTTCTCTGGTGTCCCTCGCCCAGAACGTTGGCCTCGTCGACGCAGCTGACTCGGATCGTCATAGTGGTACCATCGGTCCCTACCGAGACTGTATACGTCCGACACGTAGTGTCCGGAGTGCGTGGCGCAGCCGTAGTGGCTGATGACGCCCGCCAGCCGGCAGGTAAAGTCGCCGGCCAGGTCCACTGAGCAGAGAGACTGGTCGTCTTCCGCACTTAACTCCGAGAGGTGTGCCTGCTCCAAGGCGTCGGCCGGCGCTCCCTTCCCAGCGACCTCATGATGCTATAGCTATAGCTAGTCGGGTCTGCCATATCGTGACAGATAATCACTAGTCTGTCATATAATCACTAAAGTGATTATCATTGGACATGACTTAATTGATAATGACTCTGAAGTCTGACATTGTGAAAGTTTAGGGTCACATCATAGATAGAACTATCACAGCACAGCCCTCCACGATGACGTACCAGGGGCCCGCCACCTTCATCTATCAGATTTGATTGAAAATCGTTTATAGGGGTAAGGCCGGGTAATCATAGACCCCAAAGACGTCTGGCATGGCAAAATATCAGACTTCACAGATAAAAGAAAAATTGAGCTATACTGCACAACATTTTTAACCTCGGATTGTAAGGGCGAGTTTGATGGGCTTATAACTCGAGAAGTGAGAACTGGTTAGCAAGCGACAAACGGTAAACAGCACTCAACTTGCAATGAATGAAAGATTTATATTACTTTTTTCAAATTAAAAAAAAATCTTTGTTGAAAAATCGTAATATTTTTTTTCTAATTTGTCCCTAATGGCCTTTAGGATTTTTTAAACATTTTTTTTAAAACTCAGAAGCGCTAGTGTGAGGCCCTCAGAGCCGACACCGATGTAAGACACCGAACCATCAGTATTAGGCCCTCAGATTGGCGGTCTTTGGGCCCTCACACGTGCCACTATGGGCCGTTAGAGACACTGGTGTGGATTGTGGAGTGTGGAGCCGTCCCATGCGGGTATGGACTCGTAGAGCTGACGCTTCATAGGCCGGCAAAGGGCCCTCAGAAGCCGAAGTGGGGCCCTTATGGAGATTAGTGTGGCTACTTAGGAGCCCGTGACTCCGTGTGGTGCTTTCACGAGTCCGTCCTGTGGATCTTATCTAAGTCGAACTATGGCACTCTTGGACCCTGAGCGGCCAACTAGCACCGCAGGGTCTCTCGGGCCCGTACGGCACCATGCATCTAACGATGGGACACGTGCCCCTAGTCCCCCCCCCCCCGGCTACGCTGCACTTGTTGCGGCCATATAGGTAAATCATGGTCCCACGTCATCCATATTACCGATCATAGGCGGCGGATGATTCCTGGTCTAGGTCTGCCCAATACGACCGCCATCGTTAAACAATACGCCGCCAATAGGGTTAATTAAAGCGGCATTCAGCTCCCTGTGGTGAGAAGCAACAGATTTTGAAACAGAATAAAGGCAATGACCACTAAATTAAGGCTCTGATTATAAAATTAGTCACTGTGGGAAGTCCATTTTTCTTTAATTCATTGTTACGAGCGTACTACCTAACCTAATTCTGAATGGGCGGGGTTTACTTGTATTGAATGCTCAGGACCCTGTCGGGGGGGGGGGGAAGGGAAAGGGGCATGGTTGCAGCTACCTTCAATCGTCCCGAATGGCCCACGTGCTTAAAATTAAAATACTGAGACGTACCCGTATCAGAAACCTACATGTTGCGACGTTAGACGTCTCTACAGAAATTGCGCTCTCTAGCAAAATATGTTTTGTCTCGAGAGACAAGTCATTGCGGGACATATTGACGGTTGCCATAGCAACCACATAAGCTAGTTTACGAATTAAGTTGCCCAACCTAGGTGAGAACGAACTTATGGGACACCCTGTAGGTATTGATATGATATGCATCCGGCTTTTCCCTCTTTAGAAGCAGCCCATTCTTATCGTTGATCACGGATATATTTCGTGCCTCCTCGTTTGAGATGACGGTCACATCAACCAGGACAACAGAGGACGGTTCCTCAGCAGGCCAGGACCATCTCCGCGAGGTGACCGGTTGATGAGCTTGTAGTTTTGGGGCCTTGGTTTGAGTTACTTTGAGGAGTGGCTAGTTGAGGCCTGTCTCACCAGACATTCCCGTCCGACGGGAAGGGCGCAGCCACTGCGACTCATTAGTAGGAAGTCAGCTTATTCCAAAGATCAAACTTAATTTAACATCTCATCCCACCGTCTTCTTAGCAGGAAAGTTGAGCGGGCTGCAGGCTTGACCTGAAGGCTGACCACCCACGAAAAAAACACGATCCTTCAATTTCGCGATAACAATCTAGTATTTCCCGCGCTTACAACAGCCACTTCAAAACCAAACCCTCTGTCACTCTCATTTCCATATCTCCGTCTCCCCGTCTTTCCCACCTCCCCAAAGACCGGAGCCGACCGCAGCGCCCCTGGCGGCAGCGGCGCGAACTACCGGTCCCGGCGGCGGACTGAGCGGCGCACGGCCGAACGGCGCGTCAGACGTGGTATTGATTGTGCCGCGGTGCCAGTGGGCCGACGGAGGTCCCGGGCGCGAGCAGTGCTGGACCCAGGGTGACGTGTGACAGGCTCTTCCACAGCAGGCTCACCACTTCAGACAGGTAGGTGCAACGTGTTCGTGGTATGGGAGGTTGGTGGGCAGGGTAGGGGAAGGCGCGGATTCTTTGGGATTCTCCAAGTGTACAGGGATGACGCCTGATTGTATGAATGAATAATTGCTTGAAGACGCGAATTGCTTCATGTGTTTGAGGTCAATTGACATCGAGGCGCAGAGCTTGTCTCTGTTTTTACCGTGGATGTTTGTTATTACGCCCTTATCACTTAAAATTTCATTAATTACCTGGGTCCTTTTAAATAACTTATGAGTGGTTTTCGTTTACTTAATTAACGTCGGCGACTTTCTTTAGCCAAATACCTACAAATAACAAGTAATTGGCAACCAATTTCGTCTGCAAACATGTCACCGTTTATTCCCGGCGCTGTTGCCTGTTCCACTCCGCGGAGCAGGCCGCGGTCGTTCGTTCCCACCGGCTCGGCCAGTCGGTCGAACGCCGTCCCACACTGACCCTGGACCATTTCTCGGCACCCTCCTCGTAAATTCCTCGCGAGGGGACCGCCGGAGATTTCCCAGCGGCAGCCAGGGGGACGCAGTTATAAATAGGGACGTCCGTCAGCAGGGGTGCGAACCTGGGGCCGTCTTCAGCCCCAGGGCGGGATCACTTCCCCGGCCCGCGGCCGTCCCGAGCCGCGGCGCCGTCCCTTCTCGACCCGTCCGTCCCAGGGCGAGTCACCCAGCAGGGAACATAACGGAGCGACAGCTAAATTGGAGGGATCGCCCGCCGCGCCCGGGCACCCTCATCTGGCCGATCAAAGCTGAAATTACATCGGGCAGCGGGAGGAGACGCGTCCCTCGGAAGGCATCTCTCTGATCTGACTCGCCCGTCGCGCCGTGGTGTTCCGCAGACACCAGCAAGGTGTTTGTTACACCGCAGTGCAAAACTGCACGTCAGCGCATCGGTGGATGCAACAGGAGAATCGCCCGTGTGCAACCGAGCATGTGCTGACCCCGTTGTGTACACAGTAACGCCCCTTATCAAAGATAGGATACCGTCACCGTCCAACCGCTATGACCACACCGTGGCGGTGGCTCCGTGTCGGGACGGGGGCGGCAGCCGACCAAAGTCGATCGCCGGTCGGCGCTCGATTTT